GCAGGTTCAGAACCAGCCTGGGCTACAAAGTGAGCACATGGCCAGCCTGAACCATATAGAGACCCTGTTTCAAAAAAGACAAAAATAAATAAATAAATTGATCTTAACTTAGTATTAGTGTCCCTCCTGCCTATCCCAGCTTCGGCCTTTTTATTGCAAGTCCAGCCCCTTTCTTAGTTCATCTGCTGCTGCCTATTTCTGTTTTCAGTGATGCACATGTCAAAACTGAGTTAAACAGGTTTGAAGATTTAGAGTTATTTATTATACTGCTCAGTTTTATGGTTACCATTAACTGTGAAACGTTGCACGCAGTGAAAAAACACTGATGAGACAGAGAGATTTCAGTGTTTGAGTACCTTCTCTGGCCAGGCACTGCCCATGCCAGGCAGTAAATGACACCACCAAGCAAGGCAGTGAATCTCCAGTGACTAGGGAGTTGGGCATAGGGGAAGCTTCTCCAGACTGAGGTCTGGATCTGCACAGGGTTTACTAGGCAAGCACAGTCAGGGACCAGGGATTGTAGCAAGCTGGTATGGAGAAGGGAGAAAAGAACTAAAATAGTCAGCAGAGCCTCGAGACCTCGGTAAACACTGACTTTTAAGTAGCTACTCTGCTTATTAAGTGAGATACTGTTAGGACTTCATAATGTGTGAGCGGTCACAGGTCTGAGAACGAAAGGTTTGGTTGGTATCAGTTTACCACATTGCTGTGTATTATCCAATCGAAAAAATCCAGTCAGTTGCATGCTTGTGCCTGGCCTTGAGAGAGACTCCCTGTGCCCTGCTTTTTAGGTATAGAGTGCTTTCTGTATACCTAAAAGTAAGAAGAAAACATGTAGATTGGCAAAATCCAGATGCTATCAGTTCTGTGTCTTAAGTTTGTCTCTGGAGCTTGTGTGTGTTCTGGAGGCCTGATTCCAGGAAGGACTAAAAGCATTGTTGGCTATAAATAAACCTCCAGGGATATAGCTCAGTGGCACAGCACCTGCCTGGCAAGCACAAGGTCCTGAGTTCGATTCCTGGTACAAAATATAAATAAACAAGGCCCCATTCTCTCAGTGCAGACCTGCTATCACTCTGCTGAGCAAATCCAACTCAAAGGGCAGCTCCCAGTTCCATGAATCCACACTTTTGCCACTTCGTTCCTCTGCCAGCCAGCTCCATTGGCAGCTAGGCTTCTGTGTTCTCTGCAGGGGGACCCACATTCCAAGTTCTGTAATTCCTGAGAACAGTGTGGCCCCTGTCACTCACTTCCAGCCATGTTGGTGCATTCTTAACAGCCACAGTTAAGGAACCAAATCGGCAGGTTCACTGGGACCATTCTCCAGCCTTCTGCAGGTACTTCAGTCTCAGGTAGAGGCAGGTGGGGGAGGATGTGGAGGAAGAGGAGTCCTTGCCTCCCTTAGGATTTTTGACCCGCCCTGCTGTCTGTTTCCCCTGTTTGTTTGTAATTCGGCCTCTTTGGAAAGCTGTGAATTTGGGTTTTGTTTTGTTTTTCCTTTTTTGGCCTTAATTGGACTTTGAACTGGAGAGCTTTACCTGTCTTTTCTCCTAAGGAGAAAAGGAAAGCTCCTTTCCTTCCCCAGGCCACACTTCATCTTCCTCAGAGACTGGGTGAGGATCCCTGAACCTCTTGGGCCTGAGGGCTGCATGCTGTTGCCGCCTTGTCCTGGGGCTGTGGGTTCCATGCATCCTGGCTGACGCAGTTGACTGGTAAATAGAGCTCAGGCTGAGTTCATTATTTTTGCCAACTAGAAGCCAGAGGGATGGATCTATACAAGTCAAGACAGGAATCACCTGTGCGTTTCATAACATGGCTTTGGGGGAAAGAAAAAGGAACAGTGATTTCTTGTTGCTTTTTACTTGTGTCTTCATAACCCTCTTCCTTCTTCCTGCCTATCTAGGAACATGGTGAGACTTAACAAGAGCAGGTTTTGTAACATTTATTTTTACACTACTAGCAATTTAATGATAGGAGCCTTTCTTTCGTCTGCTTACGTTTTCATATTTTTTACATTAGCTTCATGATAACCGTAATGGATGGCTTGATTCATTTTCATACTAAGTTCCTAGTATCCACCATGACCCATAGAAGAATGCCTGTCTATCCTTTGTCTTTAGTGTGACATAGCCCCTGCCTCAGTTCTCTTTTCCTTGCCATTTGTGGCAGAGGTCCTTATGGTGTCAATGTCGATGGTTGGAAAAGAGGCGACCTATTAGGTATTGGTGGCTCTGAGACGTACCCATGGAGTATTTTCCACTGTCCTCTGTGGTCATCTTGGCACTGAGCTTTTCTGGGAGTTGTTGAGTTCATCTCCATTGCAGACTCAGTTCCTTATTTCCCTTGTGCAGGGCAGTCACAGTGAGGCTCCTGTGGGAGAGTGAGCATCTGAGGAATAGGGGCACTGGATTGTCATCTTCAAGAGAAGCTTGGTGCAGTGACACAGCACCTGGGGCTCAGCTGACGCACACCTAGCTTATTGGGGTTGGGCAGAAGAAATACCTTTAATACATGACAAGTGTGACCAGCAGGAGGCAGAGATTCTCACTAGTTCTCCAGACCCTTCCAGCAAAGATACTTAGTTGGCAAGTTGAAAGCAACTACCCAATTTGTATGCACATACATGTAGAAGGATTCATTTGGGTGGCATGGAGAGCCAAGCCATAATGCAAAAGACTGATTTTTTTTATCCCCATCATATCTTTTCTTCCAGAGATTTGACTAAACAGCCGCCACTAAGCCAGCCAGGCCCTTGTGAAATGCAGGAATCACCCACCATGTGCAGCCTTCCCCCTTCCATCTCGAGGGCCACAAAAGCTCTAAGAAACCACAAGGAAGTGTCTGGCCTCTTACTGTACCTGGGAACTCCTGAAGTAACAAATATTTTTCCCTATGAAGAGACCTGACATGTCTGAGGCCAACTTCTTGTCACGCTGGGATAAATACTGGATTAGAATGTCAGCAGAGTCAGGGATGTAGCTCAGCAGCACAGTAGCTGCCTGGCAAGCTCAAGGTCCTGAGTTTGATTCCTGATACAAAAAAAAAAAAAATAGAATGTCAGTAGACCTGAGGTCCCAGCTACTCAGGAGGCTGAAACAAGTTCAGAAAGGATCACAAGTTCAAGGCTATAGCTGAGTGTGGCGACACACATCTGTAATCCCAGCACTTGGGAGGCTAAGATAGGAGGGGGTGTGAGTTCGAGGCCAGCCTGAACTACACAGTGAGACCCTGTCTCAAAAAGAAAAAAAAATTCAACGCCAGCTTGGTCAGCTTAGCAAAACCCTGCCTCAAAATGAAAAGTGTATGCACACACACAGAGACACAAATTTCAGTGCCTGTAGAGCCTGTTCCCACATTTTTGCCCATCAAGGGGGCTTAAAGGGTACAGGGTCTTGGAGAGCAGTGACTGTAGAACCCTTAGAGGATTTATAGGTCCATCTCCAATATGACCAGTCACCTGGCTGTGGGGAAAGTAGTCCACACTCAGTTGATGCTTTCGCATAACTAGCACCCAGGAAACAGTTGCTTAGAGGCAAAATGGGAGGAAAGTTTACAATCCCCTGTTTGTCATTGACTGGCTCTTTAACATGGGGTTTTTCAGAATCACTGCTACAAAGAGGTTGTTGTTGGTCCCCTGATACTGGTACTCTCTATAGAATCACTGATTTATGACTCCAACTTGAACTTGACTAGGCAGCCCTTCAGGCCCACCTCCTACCCCTCTCTACCTCAGCCCAGTACAAACCTCCATGTTACCCACCTGATTGGCAGGGAGCAGAGGCCAAAAGGGATGAGTTGCTAGGCAGCCTGGCTTCAACAGTATGTCCTTGCAGTTTGAATGAATAGCTGCAGTGTTCAGCAGAGATGGAGGATTTTGGCCTCAGGATTAGGAAGGACTTTCCAGGGAAGGGGGCTAAGAACTTCTAGTCCTGCTATGACTGGACATGAATTTGATAACACTCCTCACACTCTCCTGAGATGTTTGATGCAGCATTTTTTCATGTAAGTGGAACCAAAATTTCTGTGGCTATTTTTCTGTGAAGATCTTGTTGCAGAGTTATTAGTCTTATGTCCTCCCTCAGCAAGCAGAGAGACAGAAAATAAGATCCAACAACTTTCTATGAACCTAGATTTTACAGTTTTGATCATTAGTTTGAAATGGCACTTGAGATCGTTGATCCTAATGATTTTAGAGAAGCGGATGTATTCTTGACCATTTTACATTTGGAACAACAGAGGAAGAGTTGTAGAGTCAATTCAGAGAGAGCCAGGCATGGTGGTGCATGCCCATAATCTCATCACTTGGGAGGCTGAGGCAGGAGGACTGCTGCAAGTTCAAGGCCAGCCTGGGCTATGGTCAAGGGCCGCAAAATTACAGAGGAAGACCCTGTCTCAAAAAAAAAAAAAAAATCAGAAGATCAGAGAGAGCCCACTTTGAACTGGGTGCCTTTTTCTTTTTTCACTTATTAGGGGTGTGCTATATGCATGCTTTGCAGTTCCATGCACTCCTTTATCTTTATATTCTCCCCTCTTTTGCTTAAACTAAACATAAGAAAACAGTCTCGGGAACAGGTAATCTCACTTCAGTCTTGAGAGTCAGATGCAATACGAGGTCCCCCTCTTGCTTCCTCAGTGCTGGCAGAGGATAGTGCTCTAGGGCACTGGCCACCCGACTGTCTGGACACAGGAACAACAAGCACGATACAGGCTACACAGGTGGCCCCTAGCAGCATCACTGCCCTTTGGTCTCCTTGGTATCAGTACTGGTTCCTGCTGGAGGCCGTTGACAGAAGACTGGTGTGAGGCTCTGATACCTGCTGCTGTGCTGGGGGAAGAGGGGTAGGAGGCGCTAGGTTCCTAGGAGCCCCCTAGGCACTGCTTACCATTAGTGTGCTGGCAGCATTTTTCCCTCTTCTGTAAAATCCCAGATGTCTCAGTGAAGAGAGCAACTGTGACTCGGGAGCCCAATCTTACTTCTTGTGTATTTCTCTCTTTGATAGGATAATACAGAAGTAGAGAAGCGAGATCCCCAGGAGTTAGTGGGTAAGTACCCCTGGGATCCCCAGGGCCATACCTTTAAGCCTTGCCCTGAGCAAGCTGTCTTTGGGCCACACCAGCCTCTGTGTGTTGGGCTTCTCTCCGCTGTGTGTCCTTTCTTCATACTTCTTCTCGGGACCTTTGGCATTTCTAGGGTGATTGGGTGAGACCCTAAGGAAGTTTTTGTTTGAAAATCAGATTGAATGGTGGGTTTTCTTGGGCTTTTGGTCCATTGCCAGTGTTGTCAGGCGGGAGTTTAGTTCCCGTCAGCTGGGAACTCATTTTGGCCTTTGCGCCTCCCCCTTGTGCCCTGGGCCAGGCTTCTGTCTTTGTACCCTCTCCCCCTCCTCTAACATATTTGTGTTGTTCAGCATGTAGAGTTAGCATGCGGCTTCTTTGTCTCCGTGCAGGAACACATCTGAAGCCCGGCTTCTGGAGTCCTTGGTGACTTGGGAGGGACAGAGCCATTTCTGGAAAACCACATGCCATCCCTGTCCTTTGCCACCCCCAGCCTCTTGTCCTTTTACAAAGCCCTTTGTCTCTAATTTGGCCATGGACTTTGAAAGGGCTCCACAAGCCTGACCCAGGGGAAGCGTCCTCTCATTGGGCTCAGCCATCCCTCTCCATGGTGGTTTTTATTGCTCTCCTTGCCTGTTCCTCTGATCTTCAAAGTGAGTTCCAGCTTTAGTTCCACTTCATAAGAACACCTCTAGAGCCCACTCCTGTGTGTCTGTCTTGGCATTCAGGACTCACTAAATCAGGACCAGAGCCTTAGTCTAGACGGGCTCCCCCAGAATCCCTCCTACCTGTCATTTCTTGAAGTAGGACTCTTTTTTTTTTTTTTTTTTTTGTCTTTTTTCTTGAAGTAGGACTCTTGCTGGAAGAGGGAGGTGGGATCCCATTGTGATTACCCCTTACTAAAGATCTAGGAATCCTTTTTGTCTTCTGAGAAACGGTTGAGTGGAAGCATGACAACTCCAAGCAACCTACATCCTTCACAGGATTCTGCCTTAGTCCCTGGGCTCCTTAATGAATGGAATTCGAATATTTCAAATCCTATAAAAGCCATTGTTTTCCTATACTCCAGTGCATGTCCTTTAGGTAGTAATAAGAGTAAGGATGCAGTAGTTGACTTCAAGAGCAGAAGAAGCCAAACACGTGTCTGCTAGGAGGACGGTGGCCTATTGCTACTGGGGATCTATGGGCAGACGTCTTGGCCTCCTCTCCTCTGCACCCCACCTGACTGCTGCTTACTACTGAGAAATGTCACAACTGGGGTTAAAGAGCAGCCTGTTGGTGCGCTGACACAGTGCTGCCCTCCACTGTCACTAGCAGTGCCCGACAAGGAATGGAACAGATGTAGGCTTCAGCCAGCTCAGCCTCATGTCTTCCATGGGCAACTGGGCACTTTTTCTCTCAACATTTTTTTCCCCTTGAGACAAGGTCTCACAGTATAGTCCAGGTTGGCTACAAACTCACAGCAATTCTCCTGCCTCAACCTCTCAAGTTTTGGGATTATAGCCCTGTGCCACCATTTAAAAAGCTCTCGCCACATTTAAAAAAGCTTTAGGACCCAGGATATAACTTAGCAGCACAAGCACCTGCCTGGCAAGTGGAAAGTCGGAGTTCAAGTACCAAAATATATATACATAAATAAAAATGCTTTATTGAAGTATAATTTCAGAGTAAGATTTGCTGGTTTTAAGTGTGTTATTGGATGAATTTTGCAGGTGTGTATAGTTGTGTCTTCTCCATCATGATCACGAGGCAGAACACTTCCATCTCTAAAGTTTTCCTTTTTGCTTCACCCACCTCTGTATGTGGTTTCTTCCCTCAACCTCAGGCAAAAGTCATCTACTCTCTACATAAAAGTTCTGTTCTTTTTATATAAATTAAACCAGACATGGTGGCATATGCCTGTAATGCCAGCACTCTTAAGAGGCTGACGCAGAAAGATTGATGCGAGTTTGAGGCCAGCCTGGGGTACAAAGTAAATTCAATGCCAACTGAAACTACATAATGAAACCCTGTCTCAAAAAGACAAAAAAGTAATAGAATTTTATATAAATCAGAATCTGTTGACCCTTTGGGCCGGATCATTCCCTGTGTACAGGCCATCATGTGAATTATAGGATATTTAATAGTATTATTGCTCTCTAAAAATGCCAGAAGCATTCTCCGTTCCTCTCTCAGATATGAGAAAATATTCCCGAGAAGGGCAAAATCACCCCAGCTGAGAACCACTGACAGAAATGGAATCAAAGTTTTCCTGTCTGGCTTCCTTTACTTACGTGGTGCTTTTGAAATTCACTTGGGTCCTTGAGCCTAGCTATCGTTTCTTTCTGTTTACTACTAAAGAATATTGCACTGTAGGGCTGCACCACAGTTTTTTATTCATTCACCCACAAAGGACACAGGTATTTTTTTGGTGCTGGGGATGGAACTCATAACCTCGAGTTTGCCAAACAGGCACTTTCACCGCTGAGCTAAACCCCTGGCCTGTTTTTGTTTTTTAAGACAAGGTATTGCTATGTAGCTTGAGCTGACCTTGAACTCGTAGAACTCATGAGACCCTCCTGCCTTGGCCTCCCATATACTGTGATTGTAGGTATACGGCACCACACCCAGCTAAGGGTCTTTTAATATTTCTTTTTTTTTTTTTTTTTTTTTTTTTTTTTGTCTTTTTTTGTTTTTATCGGTACCAGGGATCGAACTCACAACTGCTTGCTTGCAAGGCAGGCGCTTTTGCCGCTGAGCTAAATCCCCAGCCAAGGGTCTTTTGTAGTAAGGGATAGGGGGAGGAGGAGCATAGATAATAGAGCCCTCTACTTGCTTTATCACCTCCTGCCATCTTCAGCTCATTCTCTTTTGTGAAAGAGCTGGCCTCTGAGCTTCTTGGGGCAGCATCTACATCTTTATCACTTCTTTTGAGCTGAGGAGAGGCGAGAATATTGGCTGTGTGTTCAGCAAGAAGAAAAATTGCTCATCTCTAAAAGAAAAAAATTTAAAGATCCATTTTGCATGCCCTGTGTGGTGGCGCACATCTGGAATCCCAGCACTCAGGAGGCTGAGGCAGGAGAATTGTTGCAAGTTCAAGACCAGCCCAAAATACCTAGTGAGACCCTGTCTCAAAAAAGGCAAAAAAAAAAAAAAAAAAAAAGCCATCTTGTTAGTGTAGTCCAGAGTAGCTTCTGTCCAGGGTGTCAAGCTTGTCAGCTCCTCTGCCTAAACTGAAGTTCTGTTTAGTGGCTTCTTTGGGAATACAGACTCAATTTGTTCTCTTGGCTTGGGAAGTGCATCCATATGCGTGGATAGTACTGCCTTTAAAAGAGCAACCAAGAGAGTAGAGAGGCCCACTTGTCCTTGCCCCCAGTGTGGTAGTCCCTGACAGAGCTGACAGAGCCCTGTGGAGGCTCCACTGATTTCCCACCCTTGGAAGGGTGGCACTGTTGTGACAGTCCAGATGGGACCCCCCTGAAACTCCTGAGCTGGAAACACTCCCATTGCCTCCTGCTTACAGCCCCTCAGCATCCTGCATTCCTCCACACATACCCCAGTCCTTCCTAGTATGCTCAGTCTCTGCAGTCCCAGACCAACAGACCAGCTGCTCCTGCCCAGATTACTATCTGGCAGCAGTGGATGTTTTCTGATGTGGGTGTGCACAGGTGACTCATGTTCGCTGTAGGCTTCTCCAGTCCTAAGTGCAAACCCAGGCAGCAGCCATGCGCACAGGCACTGCTCCTGAATGGCTGTGGACGCACTGCTGGACAAATTTCCCAGGAAAATGGTTTGAGCCTCTGGCCACTCTCTGTAAAACTAACATCTGTAGGGGGCTGGGGATTTAGCTCAGCGGCATAAGCACCTGCCTTGCAAGCAGGCAGTCGTGAGTTCGATCCCCGGTACCGATAAAAATGAAAAAGACAAAAAAAAAAAGAACTAACATCTGTAGAACTAACATCATCTGTAGTGGATTCATTCTGGAACTTAGGAAAAAGGTCACTGAGAAATGGCTCTTGACTTTTTTTTAATGAAAATAATATGCTTTTATTCTCCAGGGTGTGTCCCTTTATTGTCAGTTACTAGGAATTCTGTTGTTTCTAGCCCACTTCTCAGAAGGGGTTTCCCGCCTGCTACCATATTCTCTACCGTTTATACCCCAGACAGCAGTGAGTTTTCTATGGCAACGTGTCACACCCTGTTTTTCTAAAAGGCTTTCCTGGCAAATGCCAAAGGGCATTCTTTGTCTCCTTGTCACATGTATACATACTCTCTCCAGCCCAAGGAACAAGTTAACCCTCCTTGTTTAAGTGTCCAGTGCCTGCCAAGGCCTCCTTGCTTATGTTGCTCATGCCCATGACATACAAAGCAACGGCTTTCCCCAGTTGCTTCCACTCTCAGCTGGCCTCTGCAGCCTGCTTGAGCTCAGACCTAGAAATTCTGCCCGTGTCACAGTTGCTGGGAAGAAGGAGGAAGTCAGGATGAAGCTTAAATTCCACCCTCCTCCTCTTGAGGAGTCAAGAGATAATAGGAAGGTGCTCGCCAGAAAGGAGCACGTAGTCCCCAGACTGACACTGCTCTTGGGCTGCTGTGGGGACCTTTGATCTGAGTGTCACTTAATCTCTGTCCTCTTGCCCTCCCTCAGGCTGATGCTCTGTCCCTGAGGTGTATCCATAAGAGTCCACTGACAGTGTAAATCTGCGCTCCAGTGGAGTCCTGTTCTGAGACTGCCCCCTTCAGCCTCAGTGTGTTTGCCACTTGCATGCAGGCTGGGGCTGTAGCAGCTGGATGAAGTTTGGCAGGCCTTGTCCTCAGCCCTGCTCAGAACTCTGTGTCTTAGTAATAGTGAAACTAAGTGAAGAACAAGGTAGCTAAGAAAACATTAACTGAAACCAGGCATAGAGGAACACCTTTTGTTGTCCCAGCTACTGGGGAGGCTGAGACAAGATTGCTTGAGACTGGGAGTTCTGAGCCAGCCTGGGCAACATAGAAAGGCTGCACTCCAAAAAACTATTGTTTTTTACATTGACCTCACCTTGGGAAGATAGACCACAAAGACTGCTAGATCAGGCAGCTACTCAGCCACAGGAACTGCTCTAAGAAATGAGTTTGCTTGGAGTGGAGGGGCCTAGCACATGGTAGGTCCCCTCAGTACTTGCTGAATATTACTGGTGGTGGTTTGTTCCTCCTGCCTACCCTGCTCTGCCCACTGTTTGCTCATTGTATAGTCCTTTTCATGAGAGAATGTTTCAGAGAGTGCAACAAACAGCACATTGTCTGAGTGATCCTGAGCAGGACTCTGCGGTCAGCAGGGTAGCCAGAGGCTAGAGAGAAGGGAGTGGGGAAAGAGGGCGAGGATTGGGTGGGCAGAGGCAAATTTCTCAGTGGATTGTCTCCTGGGGGTTGTGGTTCTTCAGAACCAAGCCTTTTTGTTCCCCAAAATGAGGTGAGTCTCTTCAGAGAAATTTGACTGGTTTATTTTTAAAGATTCTCAGTAGGATTGGGGGTGTAGCTCAGTGATAAGGGTGCTTTCTTAGCACGTGCCAGGCCCTGGGTTTTTATTCCTACCACTCCAAAGACAAAACATATAAAAAGACCTTAACCTAAAAGCCAACAGGTAGTTTTTGAGTGTCTTTGTGTACAAATAGTTTTGGACACTCTGGGGACTGGAACCTAGGGAACCCTGACCCCAGTTTCTCCTGTAGAATAGAGAGGCCAGGAGGATGGCACTGAGTAGCTCTGACTTCCTGTGTGCTGGGGGAGCCATTAGGAACTACCCAGAGGACACCGAAGCTGCTCAAACTGTGAGCCAGGTGTGCACAGCTCTTCGCAGCCTCTGTTCCCGAACTTCACGTGGGTAGCTTAAAACTGGCTACAGCAGATTTTACACCACTGGGACTGACAGATGCTTCGATCATGGCCCCACCCCACAGCTGCTTGCACAGACATTTCCCAGCACATTGCTCAGCATGCTCTTTGCTTCCACATGGGATCTCATAGAGCATATTCTTCACATCTTGCTCTCTCCATGGATTTCTTTTCTTCCAGGTTGGCCTATCACTGGCTCCTTTTGGTGGTTTGACCTCAACTCAAGTGACACTGTCTCTAAGAGGCCATATCTGAATGCCCTGTTTTACTGTTTTTACAGCATTTGTTCCTCCTTAAAAACGTTTTAAATGCTTATGTTTTAATTTATGTCCATTTCATTCTCTTGTTTTAACCTCACATACAGAATCGTTCTGTCCTTCTTAACAGCCTCCTTTTCTGAAAGGGTACGGAACATGTCTCCTGACGAAATCAAGATCCCACCAGAACCTCCAGGCAGGTGTTCAAATCACTTACAGGTAAGCAGAAGGCCCTAATACTGATCATGTCACTTCATGCCAGACAAAAAGCGTCAACCTGTGAAGACAACTCCAGCCAGATGACCAGCCACTCAGCCCTCAAGTTTAGGAAATCTCTTCGTTTTAGTTCTCAGAGAGGTAGAAACCATGGTGTTTGTGTTAACAGTTCAATTCACCTGAGGTAACACAACAGATCAATGCCCCTAGCAACCTGGACAAGTCAGCTAAGACAGGAATTTATCTCAAGTTGCTGAGCCTACTGTATAAGGCCTTGAAGAGATAACATTGAGAAAAACAGTTTGCATTCTCAGCTTCTCTCATCCCTGGTAATTAAGTATATTACAGACTTCTTGGTGCTTCCTCAGTCCCATCTGGGCAGAAAGATTTGGCTTTCTGACAAAGATAGTGGGCCACCTCTTCTGATACATCCTAGGGGTTTCACAGGGGACTTCCAGCACCATCTCCCTCCTCTTATAGGTGACAGGTGCCCTAGATATTTCCCTTCTAAAGCATTTATATATTTAACAGCCACTGAGACTTGGGGGAGCTACAGGTAGATCTAGAATTGTGCCACCACCCACCTTCCTGGGCAAAACCACTCTCAGAGGTGGCTTTACCCTGAGATCTTAGGTGTCTTAGTCCTCTTTGTTGATGCTAGGCAGCTCTAATGTCGTCAGCCACAAGCATCATCTCTGTATGCTGGGCAGGGTGCTCTTAATGACACCTGTGCCACCACAATAGGTGAGCTTTGATCCTAGCCAGGTGGTTCTGTTTCCAATCAAAAGCCAGGCCAGGGATCTATAGAGATTTGGTGAGAAATGAGCCATTAATCTTTGACTTTGATCATGACCTTTGAGGATTCCTACTATGAAGCATTAGAAAGCCTGTCTTCTACCTTGACACAGTGAGCTCAGTGGCAGAGCACTTGCCTGGCCAATTCATGAGGCACCACAAAAGATACTCTAGGAAGTTTGGGGGGCCAGCTTTAAAAACTTCTACTCCTGCCTTCCTCCAGAAGAACATAGCCCTTCCCATCTCTTGAGGTTCACAGTTCTGCTGAGGACTTCATTTCATGTTGAAATTTAAAACCAGGTGATTTGGGAACCAATTTGTTTTTTGTCTTCTCCATGGCTTCCCTCTCGTGACCTTTTTGCTGCTCACTGTACTGACTATTCAAGGAGGTCAGGAAAAATCAGCTACAAAAACTGGCCAGTCTTGTTTTATCTTATCTTACCTGCGCACAACTCCTGTCAGACTGGGTGGGAGAAGAAAACATGGCTGGTGTCAGGCTTCAAATGGCATAGAGGGTCTTAGATTCATGCCACAGACCAGAGCAAGGATGAATGGGCTTCCTTGAGCATGCTTTTCTGTTTCTCTTCGTAGGACAAGATCCAGAAGCTTTATGAGCGAAAGATAAAGGAAGGAATGGACATGAACTACATCATCCAAAGGAAGAAAGAATTTCGGAACCCCAGGTGAGTTTCTCATGAGCTTGCAGATGAGTTGAATCGCTAATGCTAGACAGGGGACTGTAAGTCCCCATGGTGAAGAGAGGCCCATCCATGATCCCACCTAAATCCAAAGAGGCCAGCATGCAGGCTTTTCCTTATACTAAATGCCTGCTACACGCAGTCAGCTGCATTAACCAGTCAGTCTCACCAGTAAGATCCAGGCTAAGGGGCTGGGGATTTAGCTCAGCAGCATAAGCGCCTGCCTTGCAAGCACACAGTCATGAGATCAATCCCTGGTACCGGTTTTAAAAAAAAGGGTCCAAGCTAAGCATGAATCATTCATGCAGTGGTGGTTGAAAGACCTGGGCAAACTAGGGAGGTCCAGTTGAGTTCTGCCACTGCCTGCTCTAACGCATACTTCTCGAGGCTTCAGTTTCCCATTTGTACAATGAAGGACTTGGCCTAGAAGTGGCTGGGTGTAGGTTCTTCTTCCAACTAAAAAGTTGGCTTTGCATATAGGTTGACTTTTAAGGACCAAACAGTATCTGGATCTTAACTCTGTCCAGTGCTTGAGCTACTAACATAACCAAGGAAGAGCATATTATATGATAACAAGGACCTATCCTGCCCTTCATATCTGGGTCTTAACTCTGTCCAGTGCTTGAGCTACTAACATAACCAAGGAAGAGCATATTATATGATAACAAGGACCTATCCTGCCCTTCATATGGACTTGAGCATGGTAGGTCCAACCCAGCCATGTAGTCTGGAGGCCAGAGATACCTGGATTAGGCCATCCCTTACCCTGTCCCCATCCTGGCCCCAGCTACTGTTCCATCTCACAGGAGGGTGGAGAGCCAGAAGCAGTAAGGTCAGGCCTCCTGTCAGGAAGCATGCTTGGGACAATTGAGCTGGGCTTACTTTCAACTCATCTCAACCCCAGGATCTGGTGGTTCTGGGGCTGTGGAGCAATAAGATCAGGGCCTGCTCACTGCTTTTGCTGTTCTCTTTTCAGCATCTATGAGAAACTGATCCAGTTCTGTGCCATTGATGAGCTAGGCACCAACTACCCAAAGGTGTGTGCCAGATGCACAGGACAGAGGGTAATGGGGGCTCCGGGACTCTTTGCTTGCTCTGTTGTATTTGGCCTACAGCCCCAGCAAGGTACATGGAGCAGCACTGCTGGTTGTAGACCGCAAGCTCTATTCAGACCTGACCTTGGGTGCCTGACCAGTGAGAGCCCAGGGGCTTCCTGGCCCTGTCGGCCAGCCACGGGTTTGCTGTGCACATGCCTCATTACTGCTGTGTTCGGGTCTGTGCTGTGGCTAGAGAGCTGGACACAGTTAAGCCCCGACACTGTGGAGATGGTTGGGCTAGGAAGGTCCACGGAGAGGCTCTGAACTCCTTCAGCACCAGACGGTCTCCACTGACAGCAGCTTAATCTTTTCTTTTTCAGGATATGTTTGACCCCCATGGCTGGTCTGAGGACTCGTACTATGAAGCGTTAGGTATCCTGTCTTCTGCCCACATGTCCATCTGTCCATCACCCATCTATCCTGTTGTGTGTCTGTCCAGTCAGTCAGATTTTCCTCTACACAGGCCACATTCAAGAGACTGGTGACTCAGTGCTGAACAAGACAGACCCTAACCCTAACACACAGAACTTAAATGTAGCAAAGAAGTCCACTGCTTGAAACAGTAATTCCAACACTGACTAGTATTAAAACGGGGTACAGTATTGAGAGTTATGGCACCAGAGGGAAACGGAAGCCTTTGGCCACAGGGCCACTTGACCTGCTCATAAAACTAGGAAGACTGTGTTGAGGAAGCCTTATCAGAGGGTACCCATTTTCTGAGCACAGTGTGGAGAACTGGAAGGAATTTCACAGGGTCCTAACCTGGTCATTCTGTTCTGTTTTACTTTGCTTTGTTTTGAGACAGAGTCCAGGCTGGCCCCAAACTTGCAGTGATCCACTTGCTTCAACCTCCCAAGTGCTAGAATTACAGGCATGTTTCAACACACCAAACAGGTCTTAACTTTTAACTCAAGTGTCAAGACCAGATCCTGACTTGTTCTTTTGTCTGCTTGTTTATTTAGGGTTGTTTTTCCTGTTTGTTTGTTTGTTTGCTTGTTTCCTAATCTTTTTGAGACAGAGTTTCACTTTGCAGTTCAGGCTGGCTTGAACTCACTTTGTGGCCTAGGCTGGCCTCAACCTGACTTGCTGACAATAGGTTTTTATGTTTTGTCTGGCTCACAAGTTTTGTCTCATAATTTGAATTAATTGTCCACACTTTATGTAAAATTCTGGAATTCCAGCTTCTTTTCTTTTTTTATTTTATTTATTTATTTGAAGGGGAGGCTTCTTGAGACAGGGTCTTGCTATGCAGTTCTGGCTGACCTTGAGCTCACTTTGTAGCCCAGGCTGGTCTCAAACTTGCAATGATCCTCCTGCCTCAACCTCCCGAGTTCTGGGATTACAGGAGCGCACCACCACGCCTGGCTATTTCAGCTTCTCTTGATCAGCAGGAAGCTAGTCAGCCTTCATTGAGCTTGCAGTCCCTGGACCTCAGGAGCACCTGGCCCTTCCAACAGGACTTCCAGCCCCCAGGCCCTTGAATGGAAGCCTTGTTTTATGATGACTAAGAGCTAGAACTTCATTTTGCCTGTTGCAAAAGGACATTAACCCCATTTTAGGGCCTTTGGCCCACCTAAAAATCTCAGGACTGGGCATGGTAGCATGTGGCGTACACCCGTAATCCCAGTACTTGGAAGCCTGAAGCAGGACAATCATGGTGAGTTCAAGGCCAGCCTGAACTGCATAAGGAAACCTATCTCAGGGGAAAAAAAACAAAACAGGATTTAGGACAGTGAGAGGATTAGGGGGACTAGCTTCCCTCCACACGCAGCTGCTCTGGGCCCCTCATAACAGCTTCTCTTGTCTCTAGCCAAGGCCCAGAAGATTGAAATGGACAAATTGGAAAAGGCCAAAAAGGAACGAACCAAAGTAAGTGATGGCGGACAGAAGACCTCATGATAAAAAAGGCAGATGTTTAGAGTACACAGGTCTTACAGGCTGAGTCAGGAGTCCCAAGCTCCCCGCCGCATCACCTGAAGAGGCTCTCAGCAGCCTCGTCTGTCGCCTCTGCCCTGGCTCCTGTGTCCCAGCCGCTGGTGTAGGTTGTAGGAATCTCCTACTCCTGCGTCCTTGTAGTTCATTGCCCTGTGCTTTCACTCTCCTGCCCCCTCCCCTCACAGTTAACAGAGCTCAGGTGGCTTTAACTCTTATGGGCCATTTGTCATTCCCTTGCCACCCAGGCCTGAATGGAGGGAACTCTTTCCTTCTCATATGGAGGCCGTAGCCTGCTCCAGTCTGCATTTCTTGGCCTGCAGAGCCAACCTCACTGACCTGCCTGGGTGCTTTCCTGGAGGCCCTGTGTCTGTTGCCAGGTGATCCCTCACTATAAGACCCTGAGCATCACTTCTTCCCTAAGTAGTGTGGTCTGGATCTTTCAAGGGCATCATCCTGGTTCCAAGGCCAAATGTTACTCTCTGATTGCTGTGCCTTGGTTACCAGTGTCTCTGAGAGAAAAAGCTGGGCGTCAGGACACTGGCCCCTCCCACCTCTAGTTAGGCCTGACCTGCCTCAAAGTTGCTGCAACCCTTAAGAACTGCTCACCCCTCTATAAGGGGTTGCAGGGCCTGGATGACTTGATGGCCCTTGAGCCCTTGGCTGGCAGGCCAAGAATGTGGGAGCTGGTGTGAGAGGGTAATCCGGGTTTCTCATTCTTATCCCTTAATTGAATCTCCCTTCTCTCTCTTTCCCTCTCCCTTCCAAACCCTAGGCTTATTGCAGGGACATGTCTGCAGCGCCTGGGGACCAGAGTGTCCTTCCCCACTGTGTGGGCGGGCACCGCCTCCTTCTGGGTGTGAGGAGGAGGGGCCTGCCCCACTGGTTCTGGGCATGGGAGGCTGGGAGGCTGGCAGGGTGTGCTGGGCATATGCAAGAGCCTTTGATGCCAAGAGGGATCTGACATCCGTTAGAAAAACTCTGAAGAGTAGCGAAAGCCCCTTTGGCCTTCTCTCAGGCACCTCTCTCTCCCCCAGGTTCTCATAGCCAAGGTGATTTTCGATGCCTCCTTTATGTAGTGCCAAACTCTTATCTCCCTGGAGCAGATGGATAGCACAGGAAGCCGACACACAGCTCTTCCATGGTCTTATTCTCTCTCTCTCTCTCTCTCTCTCTCTCTCTGTCTCTCTCTCTCTCTCTCTCTCTCCAGATTGAGTTTGTAACAGGCACCAAGAAAGGCACCACAACCAATGCCACGGCCACGACGACTACTACTGCCAGCACAGCTGTCGCAGGTAGAAGGCGGCTTGTCCCAGCTCCAACTCTGTTCTGCTTTCCCGCCTCGCCAGATGGAGGGAGAGTATCCCAGGCTTGCCTGGAGTGTAGGTGCCCTCAGGTCTGGGCCTGTGCTTGCTGTGTTCTTTCAGAACCTAAGTGTGAGAACCAGCCTTGGAGCATAGGTGGCTCTAGCACACTGGCCGCTCTGAGATTTCCTGCACCAGGGCCCTTCCATTTCTATTTTGTAGGGAGAGAGGGCTTCTACTATTGGATTGGTCCTGAGCCTGACTTACTCTTACATTATCTCCAGATGCCCAAAAGAGGAAGAGCAAGTGGGACTCCGCTATCCCAGTGACAACGATAGCACAGCCCACCATTCTCACCACCACAGCCACCCTGCCAGCCGTCGTCACTGTCACCACAAGTGCCAGTGGCTCCAAGACCACTGTCATCTCTGCTGTGGGCACCATCGTAAAGAAGGCCAAGCAGTGACCAGGGGCTGCACCAGGACTTGGCAAGACTGTGTGGCCCAGGGACTGCTGCCCACTGGGAGGCATCACTTTGTACATTTTAGGACTCAGAGGTGCCACCTGAGAGGGGCTGCTATGTGGTATTCCCGCCAAAAGGGCATTAGAGAAGAGACACAGGGTGCGCTGGACAGTCTATCCACACACCACTTGGGGAGTTGCCCATTAAAGTGCCATATTCTTACATCCTGGCATCTTGGGTATGCTGGTCTCTCTCATTTTTCAGGCAGATACGAAGCTCAGGTGCCCCCTCCACCTCCTCAGCTGGGATTGCCTCAGGATTGACTGTGAGGTGACAGAGCCCTGTCAGGTGCTCAGAGGGGTGGCTCAGGAAGTCACATCATTCCCACTGTATGACTCCTAGAAGGGGCAGGTAGTAGCCCAGGGACAGGGTGATACATCTCGCTCCTGCGTCTGCTGCCCTGATCCTGAAACCACATCTCCAGTGAGCACTCTCCAGTGCAGCACTCTCCAGACAGCTTCTTAGACACACCTACAGTTTTAAAATGGGACCAGGTACCAAAGGATTAGGGTGAGATCCCCAGCTCACAGAGAGAGGAGGCAGTGTGGGCACCTGGCCAAGGCTGCCCAGTCCCTCACTGCCCAGTGGATGCAGCCTGCAGATCCAACCAGTGGGGGAGATGAATCACCTCCTGCTTTGGCCAGGCAGAGCTCATTGTTTACATAAAGGCCCCACTCCTGGGAGGGCTTCTGCTACCCCACCCTTCCTCTGTTGTTATCTCTGCCTGGCAGCAGCCCCTGGACAACATCAGTGGCCAGTGAACTCCTCTTGGGCTAAACAGCTTTCCCACCATCAGCCAGCCTGCCTTTCTTGCTCTTTGACAGCTGCCTTTGCACTGCAGCGGAAGAACTGAGTGTCAGAGAAGGAAGTTGGGCCGTGAAGGGCTGCACTGCGTCCATGGGGCCAGCAAGGACTGAGGAGGTCATCCTGGAACTGCTGCATGACCTGAGGAGTGGGACGGACTGTCCTAAGGTTCCCTAAATAAAAGTTGAGTCTCACTTGCCACCTTCTCTTGGTAGGATTTTTGCAACCCCTGGGAAAGGAACTATGGCTCACTTACTCCCAGAAGGATCTCTGAAAAGGGCCCTGCCGTGGGCCAGGATGCCGCAGGTCAGGAGGCAGCTCTGCAGCAGTGAATGTACAGTCAGCACCTCTGGCCTGCATCCCTATTGAAAATGAGTTGTGGGGCTGAGGATTTAGCTCAGTGGCATAAGCGCCTGCCTTACAAGCAGGCGGTCGTGAGTTCGATCCCTGGTACCGATAAAAACGAAAAAGACAAAAAAAAAAAAAAAAAGAAAATGAGTTGTTGCCGGGAGTGGTGGCACACACCTGTAATCCCAGCACTTGAGAGGCTGAGACAGGATTGCCATGAATTCAAAGCCAGGCTGAACTACATAGCAAGACCCTGTCTCAAAAAAAAACAAAGAGTTGTGAGGTCTGTGAGCTCTGTCAGATCACATTAACAGTTTCACAAGCAGTCCTGAGGGGCCCAGTGACTTGGCTGACACAAAGGCCTTCTAAACTGAAGTACTCTCCAAGTGTTTGCTCTTGGCCTTTCCAGTGTCTTTGGTTTTGAATGGGAGAGAAAAGCAAACTGTAGAGATGACAAAGTTAGCCAGGATCATGGGAGTTGGTGACAGCCAGGGACACCCCATCCCCGACTGGAGGCTCTTCGGCATGATAGGAGCGGAAGACTGAGGCAGGCCTTTCCCTGCCTCCCTTTGCTGTCTCCTGGGGGCCCCCAGCCCGGTCACTGAGCTGTCTGTGTCCGCCTGAAGCAGTAATGACCAAGCAGTGGAGCCTGGGGAACAAAGAGCGAGCCATGAGCGGGAGCCCTGAGTGGAGAGAGCTGCTCATTTCGAAGCTGACTCAATGTCTTAATTCCCCCGAGTCAGCTAGGGTCTCCCCCGTGCTGCACACCACTCCTGCCTCCCTCTTGTGCTGCCTCATTCCCACACCTGTGGAAGGCAGCAGTCACCTGCCCACCCTGCCCCCAGCTCTTACCTGTGGCACAACCTAGCAGGATCTAGACTTCAGGGCATGTGAGGCCAGCTGCTTATCGCCTCTCTATTCTCTGTCTGCTCACCATATTCTCTCATTTGTTTCCTCACTGTACCACCCCTCTGCACATGTACCTTCTGTGTGGAGCTCTTTTTTTTTTTTTTTCTTTCTGTACTAGGGATTGAACTCAGGACTTATATATCCCCAACTTTCTTTTCTTTCTTTTTTTGAGACAGTATCTGAGTTGCCTATGTTGGGCTCCTCCTGCTTCAGCCTCCCAGAGTACAGGGGATTACAGATATAGGCTTCTCAATCATGATCCCTTTCCGACTCCCCCAAGCAGTTATCTGCACCTTTCCCAGTACCCTCAGCACTCTTGCCTCTAAGAGACCATGTTACTGCCTTTTGACTTGGCCATCACTAGTGTCTTCTTGTAAGCAAAGACAAAACAGTACTAAGATACAATGCCCAGGGCCTGGCATGAGATAAGTACTCAGGTGATCAGAGGATAGGAATGGAAAGACAGCTTCTCATCACCCAAAGTTGTGCACCCTGGACCCCAAGGCTGACCCGCCATGTCCCAAGTCACTGGGTCACTCAGGTCTTCTATGGCTTGATTCCAAAGGGCAAGGCTGGATCTCCATGAGAGGAACAGGGAGCTCATTAGTGTCTCTCATTTTGTACTTTTTTCATCCTGATTTTTTGACATACAATCTCATTTTGTTCCCAAGGCCAATTCCAAAGCCCTGGGCTCAAGTGATCTTACCTCAGCTTTCCAAGTAGCTGGGGTTACAGGGCTGTGTGGCCATCCCTGGCTTTCAACATGTTTGCAAATCTCTAAATGGGGAAGATCTCCACAGACACATTTGGAATGATCTTCAGGAGAGATTAAATAAAAAGGCACCAAGCCCTGCCAATTTTGTGTAAGGAAGGGAGAAAAGAAGTAATAGAGGGAAACAATACAAGAGTATGATCAAAGAAACAAGGGCTGAGATGGCAGAGGTGGAGCCTGTTGGCTCACAAGTGCAAGGCCCTGGGTTCAATCCCCAACACTACACTAAGGCCCTAATGTTAAATTTGAACTGGAAATACCAACATGAACTCATGACTTAAAAAATAAATAAGATGTACTTTGAAAGGGTATGGAAGCAATCCATACACACAGCACCCAGATCTCAACACACCTCCCTCCCCCTCAACAGGAATGGGACTGGAGCAGTGGCTGATCTATAAATGAGACTAGAGAAATTTGTTCCAGAAAACAGTGAACGCTAACAAGTAACCTGGTCAATGGAGCTGTTTAGAAGAACTTTTCAACTGACCAAACTTTTTAAATTTGGGTGCATGTAATTCTAGCACTTGAGGTAGGTGGATCAAGCATGAGACCCTGCTTCCAAAACCAAAGGGGAGGGGGTGTGAGGGCCCAGGATTTAGCCCAGTGATGCAGTGCTTGCCTGGCAAGCCTGAGGTCCTGAGTGGGATTTCAGGTCCCCCCGCTAAAAAAATCATATACTGTAAACTATTGAGTAAATAAAGATTATCTATAGTGATGTTTGAAAAAAGAAAAGTGTTTATTTGCCACCATTATAATGTATCAACTTCTTATTATGGAATAGATAATTAAAAGAATTCTCCCTTGTACACTGTTGATGTGATTGCCAAATGAGACGACTGGTATGGAAAACAACATGGTAACTCCCAAAAATTTAAAAATAGAACTTTCAAATGACCCAGAAATGCTGCTTCAATCCAAAATGATTGAAGGCAGGATCTCAAATTGCTATTTGCACACCCCTGTTCATACCAACACTACCCATAATAATCAAGAGGTAGGAGCAATCTAAATGTCCATTAACATATAACTAGGTAAGCAAAGAGTGCTATATACATATCAGCCTTAAAAGAAAGACATCCTCTCACTTAAACACAGATGACCCTAAAGACATTATGCCAAGTGAAGTAAATAATGAGATAAATGCTGTGTGATTCCATTTTTTTTTTTTTCTTTTTCCTTTTTATCGGTACCGGGGATAGAACTCACGACTGCCTGATTGCAAGGCAGGCGCTTATGCCGCTGAGCTAAATCCCCAGCCCCATGATTCCATTTATATGAGGTGTGTAGAGTTATAAGATCCAGATAGGGGTATGTATGTAGTTCAGTAAAGTACTTGCCTAGCATATGCAAGGCCCTGGGTTTCATTCCCCTTCACTGAAGGAACAACAACAAAAAGGAAAATTCATGAGGCAGAAAGTAGAAGGGTTGCTGCCAGAGACTGCAGGAAGAGTGAAATGGAAAGCTGTTTAATGGGTACAGAATAAAAACTTGTAAAAGTCTTGTACTACATTATAAATTACTTACTATGATTAACTACATCCTTAGATTTTTTTTTTTTTTTTTTTTTTTTTTTTTTTGTATCAGGGATCAAACTCTTGACCTTGTACTTGCCAGGTAGGTGCTGTGCTGCTAAGCTAAACCCCCAGCCCCTCCCTTTAGAAATTTTTTAAATGGGGGGCTGGGGGTTTAGCTCAGCGGCATAAGCGCCTGCCTTGAAAGCAGGAAGTCGTGATTTCGATCCCCGGTACCGATAAAAAGGAAAAAGACAAAAAAAAAAAAAAAAAGAAAGAAATTTTTTAAATGAAGTCAGGTATTCTGGTGTACACCTGGTGATCCCAGCACTAAGAAGGCTGAAGCAGGAGGATCACTGAGAGTTCCAAGCCAGCCTGGTATACATACATAGTGAGTTCAAGACCAACCTGAACTGCATAGTGAAACCCTGTCTCAAAAAGATCAAAAAAAAATTAATTTTTGTGTAGGCATGGTAGCACATGCCTGTAATCCTAGTACTCAGAAGGCTGAGCCAAGAAGATCACTGAATTTGAAGCCAGCCTGAGCTACATAACAAAACTCAAAAAACCAAAATAATAATAATAAAATTAAAAATTGATTCACAGCCGGGCGTGGTGGCTCACGCCTGTAATCCCAGCACTCAGGAGGCTGAGGCAAGAGGATCGAGACCAGCCTGGGCTACAAAGTGAGCTCAAGGCCTGCCCAAACTGCATAGAGACCCTGTCTCAAAAAAAAAGACAAAAAAAAATTGATTTACGTCAAGATCACCAATGGGTGCTAAAACTATTCAGCCAGGATTTTCTGAACAATGAGCAGGATGCAAAGCATTATGACCCCCTAGATTGCTTTTTTCTGTGTGTGGGGGGGGGGTGTGTCTTTCTTTCTTTCTTTTTTTGTCTTTTTCGGTACCAGGGATCAAACTCACGACCGCACACTTGCAAGCAAGGCGCTTATGCCGCTGAGCTAAATCCCCAGCCCTGATGTGTCTTTCTAAGACAGGATCTCACTATACAGTTCAGGCTGGACTTGGACTCACTTGGTAGCCCAAGCTGGTCTCAAATTTGCAACGATCCACCTCCATCAACCTCCCAAATGCTAGGATTACACGAGCATGCCATCATACCTGGCTTCTAGATTATTATTTTTTTTTGTAAGTTTTTATTGGTACCAGGGATCGAACTCATGACTGCCTGCTTGCAAGGCAGGTGCTTATGCCACTGAGCTAAATCCCCAGCCCCAACACACTAGAGTGTTAAGGGATGAAATGTCAGGATACATACAATTTTTTTTTTTTTTTTTTTGTCTTTTTGAGACAGGGTCTCACTGTGCAGTTCAAGCTGGCCTTGAGCTCACTTTGTAGCCTAGGCTGGTCTTGAACTTGAAAGGATCCTCCTGCCTCAGCCTCCTGAGTGCTGGGATTACAGGTGCAAGCCACCACACTCAGCTAGGATATATACAATTTAAAAAGAAATTAAAAACTTAAACATATAGCAAATGTATAAATACAGTAAGTGTGATAAAATGTTACTCTTAAATCTAAGTGGCAAAAATAAAGATGATTTTTGTAATCTTTCAACATTTTTTGTTTGAAAAAAGTGAAAATATTCAAAATTAAAAATTGTACAACAAGGCCTATAATCCCAGAACTCAAGAGG